CCGAGGGCCAGGAAGCAGGCCCTCGACAAAGGTTTTTAAAAAAAATTCAAAAAAAAACTATTTCTTTGGCGAGGGCGGGCCCTCGGCAAATAATTTTTTTTTAAAAAAACCTTTGCCGAGGGCCCTGGCAATAGCCCTCGGCAAAGATTTTTTTGGGAAAAATCCTGAAAATTTCTTTGCCGAGGGCCAGAGAGGAGGCCCTCGACAAAGGTTTTTAAAAAAAATAAAATAAATTATTTGCCGAGGGCCGGCCCTCGGCAAAAAAAATTCAAAAAAAACCATTTCTTTGCCGAGGGTTGGCCATCGGCAAAGAAACCGCCAACGGCGCCGGCACGTGATGGCCTCTTTTCTTTGCCGAGGGCCGTCCTGGCCCTCGGCAAAGGCTTTGCCGAGTGCCCGATAAAGGGCCCTCGGCAAAGACCCCTTCGCCGTCTAAAAATTCCCCGAGGGGTCTTTGCCGAGGGCAGTCCTCGGCAAAGCCTTTGCCGAGGGTTTCTGGTCCTTTGCCGAGGGCCAGATGCGAGTCCAGTAGTGTCAGATCTACCATCAATGAGCCTCCTTCCCAGTCGCGGAGCATTTTGAAGTTGGGTATTCCCGGGTCCAAAAAATCCAATGCATAGCAACATAGTTTTAAATATAATTAATAGTTGTATTCTATCCCGCAAACTCTTCAAATCCATTTTCTTCTTCATTTTGCAACCGAAAGCAAACTATAGGAAAAATATATGCACACTATTAACTAAAACTCACTAGCACTAGCACACATTCATATTCGTAAATCCAAATCGGTATTCAGTAAATCCCTCACCGTCGGTTGTCCTGCTGTCCTGGTGGCATACAAGCCTGGTGCGGTGGTGCCTGGGTTGGTGGGCGCGCGTCGGTGTCCTGCAGGACGTCATGGCGCTCGGGCGCTGTGCCGCTGCCGCGCTGAGCGCTACGCCCCTCATGGCCACCCGGAGCCGGGCCCCTAGCAGGCTAGCACATAGAGCCAGGTGGCCAGATGCAGCCGCCACCGCGACTGCCTATAGAGTCATGGACACCGCGACTGCACATAGAGCCAGGCTAGCACAATAGCCTTGAGCCTCAGGCCGGCAGGCCCCGGCCGCCCTACCGCGTCCCCGGCACCTCCTACCGCCGCTCACCGAGAGTTGAGCATCGCCGCCACTCGTCGGGACCAGGGTCAGGAGAAATGGAGAAGGCGTGAGAAGCGGGATAGGGGATTTTGCCGAAAGGAGTACAGGTGTGTCCTTGTGGCTTAGTGGGCCACTGGTGGCCTGCGCCCTTGCCCCTTGCGGGCTGGCCTGGAAGGCTAGAAAGGAAAGGAGGCCGCGAATAGGAAGCTGAGGTCTGAGTTTCTACTCGAAAATTTAATCGACAATTAACACCAATATATACATTATACATATGAGTATATACACATATATATACACACTAGATAATTGCCCGTGCGTTGCAGGGAGGCAACAAAACTTGTATGAATATTTCGAAGCCAAGTCAAAATGAAGACCCCAATTTGCACACGTTATCTATCTATTATATTATACACCTAAAAAATAATTAAGGGTGTCGTCAGCGCAATAATCCTACGTGAAAACTGCAAGGTTACTCTTCTCTCTGTTCGCTACGACGTACATGATTCCGTTTCCTACGTCTTTTTCCCTAAGTGACTGTGCCGCAGAGAAGATGAAAGGCACGGCGACGAAATCGTACGTGGCCTCCGACCCGAACCCCACGGCAACGATCGTGGTCCTAGTCGCCGCCGGCGTGGGAGAGAGTGCGAGACGAAAGGCACGGCGATGAAGTCGTACCTCGTACTTGGCCTCCGACACGAACCCCACAGACCGAACCCCACGGCGACAATCGTGGTTGCCGAGACGCAGGTGGGCATGCGCCCCTCGCCGGTGGACCGGTGGTGGCGGCGTTCTCGTCACGCGGGCCAAACATGCATGACACCAGAGATCCTGAAGACAGATATAATCGTGGCGCGGTGAACATCCTGGTGGCGTGGATGGAAAGGCCGTGCCGACGGATCTCGCCGTCGACACCTGCTGCGTGGGAATCAACATCTCGAGCACGCCCATGTGGTGCCCGCACGTGAGCGGGCTCGCCGCGCTACTCCAGAGCGTGCAACCGGAGTGGAGCCCTGCCACCGTGCGCTCGGTGCTGATGACCATGGGTCCACAGCCTACGCTGGGTACTCCGGCGGTGGGTCGCCCTTGCTGGATGCGGCGACGGGCAGGACAACCACGTCGTTCGACTACGGCGCGGCGTGGGGCACATAGACCCCGTGTGGCCACTGGACCCTGTTCTGATGTACGAGCTGGGCACCAGCGACTACGTGGACTCTCCGTGCGCGCTCAAGTACAGCTCCACCATGATCGCCGCCTTGGCGCGGAGCCGAGAGTACGCGTGCGCCGAGAACAAGACCTACTCCTTAGGCAGCCTCAGCTACCCGTCCTTCTCGGTGGCCTACTCGATGGCGGCGGGACTCGATCGACCACCGACGCACACGAGGAAACTGAGTCGCTAACCAACGTGGGCGGGGCTGGCACGTACAAGGTGTCGATATCTTCGCTCGCCGCCACCAAGTGCGTGGCCGTGGAGCCGACGGAGCTGGAGTTCACGTCGGTGGGGGAGAAGAGATGCAGGGTGAGGTTCACGTCCCAGTCGCTGCCGTCGGGCGCCACCGGTTTCATGGGGATCTTTTGGTTGCACAGGAAGAACAGCGTGGATGGATGATGGATCATGGATACAACAATGGTTTATTGCTCCTCAGACTCAAAAAAGGCCCATAATTTTGGTGATGGTTGGATGAGAGCGTGATGGTGCTCGATTGAAATGGAATTATAGAGAGGAGATGCAGGTTGGAATGGATGATTTGGGGTACTATATGTCGGACGTTGATAAATATAATTAAGAGAAAAAAATTAGAGAAGGACTGAATGAATTTGAAAATAATTTAGGGTCTCCAAAACGAATTGTTTATTAGTTTTTTATTATTTTCAGGAAAGATCAAATCAACTTAAACTTGTAAAATACATAATATAACACATAAGTATTAATTAAAAAGGTGAAACCAATTTTGTTAGATTTCTATAAAATAATCTACAGGATAAGTGATAATAAAGATCATAAAACGAGCATTATATATTCTATGTAATTAGATTTATACAGTTCTTAACATGTTTGTCAAAGCCAGAAGCCACGTGCGTCGCCGCCATAGGTGTGGGGCAAAATTTTGTGATGCCATGCAACACACGGGCATATACCAGTATATGCGAGAATTCCCAATGTGATCATGTTAGCGGGTTATTCAACGTCGTCGTTTGTCTGGACTTGACAATGATTTCAATTCCGTGCACGATAGACGGTTGGAACGGACCAACTCGTTATGGATGTCCAGGCTTGCAGCCCATGCAGCTGATTGTTTTATTTCTAGTCTAGTGCATGACATATACGTATTGTTTACCTAAGTCCTGATAAATTAAACTTGTTTATATGGTTGTATTGACACATTTTTTTTATAGCAACAATGATCACTGTCTTTTCAACAATATTTATGTTGCCTGGTTTATTTTTTAATGTAATCTTCTCGTACAATAAAAAAATTTATATTATTTTATTACATATGTATTTGGTGATTGTTGTACGTACATGTACATATACCTTCCACGGTCGCTGCGTCGTCGCCATGATTGAGGATCTTTATTTATTCGGCCTGTTCGCTGGTTGGTTTCTGGACTGGTTTGGACTATCTGGTGCTGATTTATTATGAGAGGAAAACATTGTTGACCGACTAATTTAAGCTAGCTGAAACCAACCAGCGAACAGGGTGATTTTCTACTTCCTCCGTGGCATAACACTCTTGCACTACCGTACGTATTGAGAAATAAAGCAGTTCAGAAAACGTAAGACGGAAAGGAGCGCCATGGACGTGGGATCCCAAAATCCATTGCTGCGGTCGTTCATTGGTTCTCGTTCCAGCGAACGATCTGACCGGCGGCACAACCCGCGCCCGCTCAACACTGACGTTACTTAAAAAAATAGAATACATTTATTTGAGATTGTTATAAATTCTAACAGTGTATCTAATTTTAATTCCATCTGCACGGGTGTGTTTTACATGACGAGCCGAACAAAACTAGACCCCATTTACATATGTTTTAAAGAACTATTTTCTTATAGCAATTTTTATGTATTAAATAACTTATGTACACAAGTTGTATGGACTAACTTATCATAATAACTTATATATATAAAGTTGTATAGAATAACTTATACACACAAGCTATGTTTGATAACTTCTGTACATAAGTTGTGTTTCATAACTTTTGTATTTATAAGTTAATTCGTTCTTTTTGTGTGTTAGTAACTTTTGTGTTTGCAAGTTTTGACATAAGTTATAAGTTAAATCGTTCCTTTGTGTTTAATAGCTTTTTAAAATAAGTTGTGTTTCATAACTCTTGAGCTTCCACGTTTTTTTATAAGTTGTATGTTATGAATTAGGGATAATTGTCTGTTGGACATCAAAGTAATGATCATTTGCTGGCGGACATCTACTTTAGAGCATTTTGTCAGTCGATGAAATTAGGTCACAGGACACCACGGACGGATTGTAGCCGGTTGAGGAGAGAGAACAACGATAAAATGACATTCTTGTCCCTGCCGTTTTCTTCTTCCTCTCCCCCTTTTATCTCTCTCTTTTTTCCTGTTTCCTGTCCCCGCCACCCTCTCCGCCTCCCGCCGGCGCAGGACGGGCCCGCGGCCGCGCACGTCACGGCAAAGCAGTGGGGGCCGTCGCACTGCGACACGCGCACTACGCTGGGCCTGCCGAAGAGGTTGTGCAGCCCGCCGAGGGCCTCCTGTTAGGCGCCCCCGACGAACATGCCCAGGTAGCAGCTCCTACGTATGTCCACACACACTTGCATGACTAAGTTCGCACCATTTTGCTCGCCTGGTGAAGTGGCGAGTGCTGACAGCTGACAGCACGCGGTTCTGCCATGTCGTATGCGCGCGTGCAGGAGGTGACGGACCGGTCGCCGTCGGGGGAGGAGCACGCGAAGATCGTGGAGATGGATGTCGGCGAGCCGGCATGGCGCGGGCGGAGCAGCTGCTCGGCGGCGGTCACCGAGTCCAGGGAGCGGCGCCTCGCCGAGTACTACCACGGCGGCGGCGGGCAGTGCTCGCCCGCGGCGTTCTTCGGCGCCGAGCTCAGCCTGCCGCGCGTCTACAGCGGCCACTTTGAGGACGTGTTCGCGTTCGACCCCGCGGCCACGGCGCAGAGCAGCCCGTACGTGGCCCCCTACGACGCCACCGTCGCCGCGGCCGGCGACGGGTACGGCGTCGTCCCGAGCTACATGGCCAACACGGAGTCGTCCCGCGTCAAGGCCCGGTCCCAAAGCGCACCAAGGCAGCGCACCGATGCCGCGGCGCTAGAGCGGTAGCCCAGCAGCAGGCGCCGCGGCCAGGGCGCGCCCAGGAAGATGCAGCACTCATCGTCGCACATCAGCGTGCCGGCGGCGGCCGCGTGCGGGTACGGCTACGGGTACGGGTACGGCTACCAGCATGCGCAGCCGTGGTGGGCGTCAGGCTGGACCGCTCCAGCGCGTCGGTGGTGGGCAGCGAGTGCGGGTCCACCAGCTCCTTGCTCACCGCTGCCGCTCGCTCGTCAATTCAGGTGCGTTCACACCGGTGTATTCTGGCAGAAAAAAAGAGAGAAAGGGAGAGAGAAAGAAGATAGCGGCAGGGGCAGGAATGTCATTTCATCGCTGTTCTCACTCCTCAACCGGTTGTAACTAGCCCGTGGTGTCATATGACCTAATTTCACCAAATCAGAGTTTCTTGTAAATCAGAGTGTCTCGTAGCAAAATGCTCTAAAGTTGATGTCTGCCAAAAAAAAAACATCACTTTAAATGTTCAACAGACAATTATCCCTATAAATTATATGGTATAAGTTGTATTTATAAGTTATATGTTATAAATTATATATTATAAGATAGTACATATAAATTACTAATAAAAATGTTTTTCGAAACGTATATAAGTGAGATTTAGTTTTGTCTGTCTCGTCGCATAGAACACACCGATGCAGACGAAATTTAAAATGAAGATTTAGTTTTGTCCGTCTCGTCGCATAGAACACACCGATGCAGACGAAATTTAAAATGAATACACCATTCAGAAGTTATAGCATTTTAAAATAAGCTTTTTTAACGGTGACTTAGCAGCATGGGAAAGCGCGCAGGAAAGAGAACACTGCAGCTCGTGCACGCGCTCTGAAAGAAAATGCTAGACGCGCGTGGTGGCCCGGCAGGTCTCCCGCGGGATCCTGTACTGTAGCGTATTGTCGGCCTCCCACGAGCCGATAAGTGCCAACCGGAGCTGAAGCCGCGGGAGAAAAAAAAACTAGCTTCTACGCTCCGATGGGTCAGTGAGAGAGGAAGGGAGGAGAGATAAAAACGGCGCTAGTGGACAATGTAGCGTCCTGTCGGGCGTCCACGAGCCGATAGGTGAACAGTGTGGCCGGAGCCGTGGGAGCCTTGCCAAAGAGGGCTGTCGGAAAATCATTCATTGGATTAAATTTGGGCGGTCGTTCCCCAATTAGTGCTGTCGGATCCAAACATGGCCGCATCAATCCGAGTCTCGTTTCGTACGAGCGGGGCAGCACACGATAAGCTTAGGAACTTTTTAGGTGTAATAGTAGATAGATAAAGCCGTACCAAAATAGTTAAGTATTCCAGGAATACAGGGAAATTCCCTTGGATCCGCCCCTGCTCCTTCCTCAATTCCTCTTTGATCTAGGTACAATCAAAGGATTGGTGGACTGGATTGATGCGCGGGGTACAATGGAGGTGGGTACGTGGCCACACGGTAGAAGGGACAACGACACCTAAGAGATAGAGGTGAATTAGGCATTTCACTTATAAAAATCTACGCAACAAAGTAATCTATCTAGATAGGTAAGTAAGGTTTTGCTATGTGTATTGTTATCTCTATCGTAAAAGAATCATGCAACTTAATTAAGTTCTAGGCTCCAATCCTATCAACTAGCCTAGCAAAGCTAAACTAGAAATGTAAGCATACAACCTGGGCACACAAATAAAATATGGAAGCTTAACTGAGATAGAGATGCAATTATAATGTCTTGCTGGAAGTATTGATCATCCGAATCAGCACGTTGCCTAAGCCTAAGTTCGCCTTGCATCCATTTGAACCGTACCTTATATACTAGCAAATATCGTTAGTCCAAGTGGTCATATTTTCATCAAACACCAAAATCAAACTTAATGACCCATAGGATCTATTTTCTTTAGAACGGTAAAAAATCAAGTTGAAGGCCACTGATCCATCTTTTGTTTGGCAGGAGATCAATATACGACAGTCCGTTGTTTATTAAAATACGTGTGACGTAAATGTGGATTAGGACTTCGGCAGATGTAAAACAACATGACTTAAACAAACAAAGAGTAAAATCTATCATAACTTCCTGAGTGTTAAGATCTTATAAATCTTACATCCTCTGGATGATGGAAGGCCCAGATAAGATGACATCTGGATCCAACGAATATTATAGACGGAGAACCTCCCTCAAAGAACTCTCCCTATTATAGTGTGAGATATTAGTTTTTGTTACTATTTTGTACATATTTTTTAGGGGAATTTTGTACATATATATGTGCTGTATATAAATGTAGGCCCCATGTCCAAGCTGGACCCTTAGAATGAAAACTTCCCGTTCACAGCTTCAAATTTTAGTGAAACTAACATAAACTTGTTAAAATTGACTCACTACAACAGCCTACTTTGTGTAGATTCTTGAAAATATTAAATCTATACGTGGGACCCACATCTATATTAGATCCATACCAGACGTACTCTTCCCATGTTGAAAACCTTTAGACCAATTTACATATCGCCAGAGAGCTCAAAAAATAGGCCAAAGAATATTAGCGATATGCATAGCAACCAGATTAATCAAACTAGTGGTTCTATTAATTTCATAATTTAATATGTCAAGTTTGGTTATATCTAATACTCACGTAAAATATATCTCGAGCCTCCTGGCTCTCCTATTCTGACGGTAAACGCGTGATTCCAAAGGCGTTGGTTAATGGCTGCCGTTGCCCCATGCTTTCCCGGGAAAATCCAAGAGCTGCATGCCATCCCATCTCCCGCCAAATGTGGCCAGTCGCTGCCTTTCCCTCCGGATTCAAATATCCCTCGTCTCGCTTCCGACCTCTCGTCCAAACTTTTGGCCACCACCGTTTGCACCCTCCTTCCAAGGGCCACGATGAGGGCGCCTCTCCTCTCCTTCGTCCTCCTCTTGGCCGTCGTCGCCACCGTGCCCCTGGTCCCGGCGGTGAGCAAGGGTGAAGAAGCTGGTACCGCCGCTGAGGAAAATGGAGGCTCTATCAAGCCCCTGTCCCTCGACGGATATGGACCACTGGAGAAGGCTGCCAAGAAGCCCAAGGAGCAGATCTTGGACGCGCAAGCTACTCGGAAGATGATTCCCGACACCTATGATCAGAAACCCATTGAAGAACAAGCTCAAAAGGCCACGGCCTCCACTGCTGATGAGCAACCCGACAAATATGTGGCGTCTCTAGTTCCTGATGAGAAGGAGGAGGAGGAAGCTCCTGCAGAGGTAAAGGAGGAGAAATCTGATGAGTCGGCGGATGAATCTGCTTATCACAAGAAGGAAAAGAAGGTAAAGAAGGAAAAGAAGGAGAAGTCGGATTATTTGGATGAATCCTCATCATCCAAGAAGGAAAAGAAGGAGAAATCTGATGATTCTGATGTATCTACATCTTCCAAGAAGAAGAAGAAGAAGAAGAAGAAGGCCAAGACTGATGATTCTGACGAAGATGCATCGGAAAAGAAGGAGAAGTCTGCATCTGGCAAGAAACACAAGAAGGACAAGTCTGATGATGATTCGGACAGTACATCTCCCAAGAAAGAAAAGAAGGGGAAATCCATCGATTCGGATGCATCTTATGCATATCTTCAGAAGGAAGAGAAGAAATCCGGGGATTCAGACGAAGCCACGTCTCTTAAAAAGCAAAAGAAGGAGAAGAAGAAGAAGGAGGAGGAGAAATCCGAGGAGAACTCCGAGGAGGACGCTGCGCCCGTCGACGTCTCCACGGACGGCCAATATGTGTTTACTCCCAAGGAGGAGAAATCCGGCGAGGACGCCATGCCGATCGACGTCTCCACCACCGGCCAATACGTATCTTCTTCGAAGGCCGACGGCAAGCCCAAGGGAGGTGAGCGTCAGATCTCCACCAATGCGGATGCGTACGCGTCTCCAAAGCAGGAAGCCAGTAGCCAGCCCATAGCCGGTGGTTCTCCCGACGAGGTTCCGCCGGCGGTCAAGAGCCCCGCCACCTCCGACGCATACACATCTCCAAAGCAGCAGGTCGTCAGCCCCATGGCCGGTGGTTCTCCAGACGAGCTTCCGCCGGCGGCCAAGAGCTCCGCCACACCCGACCCGTACTTATCTTCAAAGCAGCAGGTCCTCAGCAGCCAGCCCATGGCCGGTGGGTCTCCCGACGAGCTACCGCCGCATGCCAAGAGCTCCGCCACCCCTGCCCCGTACGCGAACGTGCCCAACGAGCCGGCAGCGGGGAAGCCGAAGCTGTCGATGGAGACGTTCTCGGGGATGATCAGGAGGCCGATCGCGAAGATCCTAAGCCCGGTGATCAAGAGCGTGTGCGCCAAAACGGAGTACCCGGAGGACTGCGAGTCGTCGATCGGCGGCCTCCCCGGGGCCGCGTCGGCGGCGGCGACGGACAGCGTGGGCGTGCTGAAGCTGGCCATGGAGGCGGTGCGGCAGAAGGTGATCGTGGCGATGAACGCGGCGACGGACCGGATGAACGTGCCGGGGACGGACGACACGACCAAGGACGCGCTCGACTCGTGCACGTCGTCGTACAGCGACATCAAGACGAGCCTGGACTCGGTGGACGACGCGCTCAAGCGAGGCGACGTCGACACGGCGCACACCAACCTAGACTCGGTGGAGACGGACATCACCACCTGCGACGACGGATTCCAGGAGCACGGCATCCCGTCGGTCATGACCGACCATGACCAGGAGCTCCAGAAGCTCGCCAGCAACCTCCTCTCCATCGGCGCCGCCATCCATCACTAGAAGGGAGAAGGGAGGAGCGGCCGTGCAGGCGTGCACACACGCGTACATGCATGCATTTGCGTTTTCATCTGAAGAATGAAATCGGTTGTAAATTAATTTGTAAACGGAAGAAAAGCACCTCGATTAACCTGTAGCTGCTATGATCCTTTGATTGGACGAGGTTAATTAATCTGCAGCTTTCACTATGTATAACAGTATATATGATTCTGATTGTGAATGTTTCGAAAAAAAACTAGTATATAATATTTGTGAATTGCCATGTTGTAGCCTTGATACTCCCTCTAATTGTATGGTGACTGTTCGCTGTTGCTGCGATACGGAATTGAAAGAAGAAAAAGGTTACAAAAAAGGAAAAGGTAAAAAGAATAGCAGAAAAGGGGCATTCCGAGAATTGAACTCGGGACCTCTCGCACCCTAAGCGAGAATCATACCACTAGACCAAATGCCCTTTGTTGTTTTATTTTGACTCGTAGTTTTTGTAAAATATCCATGTTACAACTACTACAAAAGACAATTTTAGAGGTGGATTTTTCGATTTATAGAGGCAATACCAGCCAACCATATTTATCAAATGGGTTTTTTTGTTAATGAATCATTTGTAGAGGCGGTCGGCCAAGCTACCTATATAAACCAATGAAAAAGAAGAAGTATTAACTTGTCTGCGTTTATATTCCATAAAAAAAAACTTGTCTGCCTTTATAAATAGCATTTACAGAGGTGGTCTTAAATACCACTTTATAAATGTTTTATAAATGCACATTTACCTGCTGGTGCAGCAGGCATTTACTAAGCTTTTTCTATATAGAGAATAAGAAAAAGTAGGAAATATCGTAATTGATGGCATTTACTATATAGAGAATAAGCTTTTTCTATATAGAGAATAAGAAAAACAGTGTCCAGGTTCCACACCGTCAGTGTTCTAAAAAAACAGTGCGTTCTATGCACTGATGGCTATAATATACCGAAAAAAATCTTTGCGAAATGAATAATTTTCCTGTATGGCACTGTAAAAAATCATGATATATCTTTTTTCGAACCACAATATAGATACTTGTTGCGAACCGGCATACATGAATGCCCTACCTTAACTAAGAGACTGAGCTGGTATATCTTAAGATTGACGGAGTCATCTCAAACATATTCTGTTGCCAACGGGCACGTTGCCTACTAAAAAAAAATAGCTTCATAGTTTCACTAGAGAGAGGAGTGGCGAGTGGCCATGGATAAATGCATTGATTTTCAACCGTGACTGATTCCAAGAATTGAACTTAATTAGGACCTCTCACACTGCAGGCAAGATTTTACCACTAGAACAAAGAGATCATCTTTTAGACACACCATTTTGATGAATATGGCTGTCTGCTACCTTACTCATGTTAGAACTATTATTCCAAACAACCATATTTTAAGCACACAACACGGATGAATAGAGCAGTATAGCACTTTTTTATACAAGAAGGGTCACACTTTATGGATCAGCAACGAGAAATTTTCATCTATAAATTAATTGGTACCTTCTCAAGTGGAATACAAACAACAAGTAAACGAAACAAATCTTGCCCATGGATCAATGAATCATGGAGAGCTGTACTCTAAGATATGTATTGAGAGATTGGAGAAAAACAAAGCCGGGATATATTTACAGAAGTCAAGATTCACGTGATTATCAAGTTCAAACAAAGTATTAGAAAAAAACCACTGTAGAATTGCTGCCATATGTCCTAGTTCTGAACAGGAACATGAACATAGAGTGTGTGGCACAGTAGGTCCAAAGAAGAACTAGATGAAAACAGATAAAAACTCTTCTGCCAGGCAGCCTGACCGTCTCACGATGATGTTCCTCCGGAAGCGTCATTGGAGGAGGAATGTCACCTACCAGCATCCGTGCGTTGGCATTTTGCTTGAACAAGCGTGACGAAACATATGGCAAGAAAAGTCCCTCCGAGGTGTTAATCTTTTCCCAAGGCAGCAGGCTTTTACTTGCCTGAGCTATATCCGTACTGTATCATGTCATTCCAAAGTTCGCGATGCAATTCCTTCTCTTGTTCTGTGCTACAAATATCTCTTGTCACTTGTAAGTCGTTCTAAACTTGGAGTTTCCATCTATGGTAAAACTATGTTCAAAGTTTCATATCCAGTGCTACTTGTTTGAATAAGTCATTCTGAACTTGGGAGTATCTATCTATGGTAAAACTATGTTCAAAGTTTCATATCCTGTGCTACTTGGTTGTTTGTTGCTACTCCTCGAATGTCTCCATTCTACGAGTTAACAAGGTACTCCAAAAAGCTCGTCAAAGTTTGACTAATATGGCAATGCTAAAGTGACCTCTAATTTGAAATAGAGTGTGTACAACATTGATATGCTGAAGTTCACGGATTAAATTTGAAGGGCACGATTAAACTTACATACTAATGTACCTAGAATCCACTAATCCGTGTTATGATTCCCCTGCACGCTGGGGGACCACGGGAGCAGCGCGAGGAGCCGCAAAGAGGACGAAATATATCACAAGCAAAATGAGCAATAAAACTGTTTTATCAAATATACTTATTGATCATTTTGCTTGTGTAGCTCAAATATACTTATCGATCATTTTTAGATATACGCTGTTTTATTTTTCTGACAAAACCGTTTGAGCTACACATGATCATTTTTCTGACAAATAGTTTGATCATGTATGGCCACTCCGCTCAGTATTTTTCTGACAAAACTGCTTGATCATTTTTATCTATATTGCAAACCTGCACGCATGCATGCCCTACCTCTATGAGCACACCTGGATGATTGAGTTGGTAGATTTTGAGACTAACTGAGTCGACTTATGCATTTTGCTGTGGATGGGCATGTTGCCTACCGCCAAAAACAGTAAAATAGTGTTATAGTTTTGCTAGAGAGAGGAGTGGCCATACATGAATGCATCACTTTTTCATCTGGGATTGTGATTCCAAGAATTGAACTCATGACCTCTCACACGGTAAGCAAGAATCGTACCACTAGAACAAAAAGATCATCTTTTAAGCACACCATTCTGATGAACATAGCAGTGGTACTTTTTTCCATATTAGAACTATTATTCCAAACATCCATATTCTGAGCACACAATACGGATGAATATGGCAGTAGTAACACTTTTTTTTATGCAAGAAGGGTCACGCTTTATGGATGAGCAACAATAATTTTGCATCTATAAATTATTAAGTGGTGTACTTTCTCAAGTGGAACACGGACACCAGGTAAACCAAACAAATCTTCCCCATCGATCAGTAAATCATGGAGAACTCTACTCTATGAAATCTGTTGAGAGATTGGAGAAAAACAAAGCCTAAATATGTTAAAGTCCGCCGCCGACCAGCGCAGGCGCCGCGCCGCCGTCCATCGCGACCACGTCGTGGGGCTGCAGTTCCAGCGCGCGACGACGTGGAGAGCTACCTTGGCGGGTCTCCGCCACGGGACGTGATCCTTCCGGACTTCTTCAGCCGCAAGCTTTGCGCGGAGGCGGAGCCCCGGTAGAGGAACGGCGTCTTCGTCGAGCTGGAGAGCCACGGCAAGAACAGGAGGAGCGGTACCGCGTCGGCCTCCCATTGGTTCGTGGAGGCAGCCCTGCCCCTCTCCCTGCGTCCGGCGCCGAGTCCGCCCTCTAAGGTGAGTTAGCTGCGGTCTGCAGACCTGCCTTTGGCTTCCTCCTCCCCGTAGCTTGAGCATTCTTGGGCGTCTTCTGGATCGTTTCTTGAGCATTCTTGGGCGCCTTCCTGATCGATTCTTGCACAATTTTGGGGTTTGGGGCGTTGGTTTGATTGTTGCCGAATCCCGATTGATCTGGGGAGCGATTCTTGCATGTTTCTTGCACGCATATTTGTCGATTCGTTTGATGCGAACCGAACCTTGTGTCGTCTCGTCGCTTAATCAGTCGTTGCGTTGTTTCTTGTTCATCAGGATCCTCAGTGCTCTCGTCTCTACATCCCGCGCTTGAACCTGGACACCGCGGCTAGCGCCCGCCTTCCCATTCTGAGCACGGAGAATGAGTTTCTGGGCTAACTACTTGCCGGCGCGCTGCATCCCGGGTGTGCTACACCTTCTGGATGGCACCGCCTGAGGCGAGATGCTCCACCAGGCGGATGCTGATGAATTTGGGGGCGACGCCAGGAACGGTCAGCTGGTGACCGCTCTCGCCTTCATAGCGGGGAGGGGCAAGGGCATCACAACCTTGCCCCTCCACTTGCAGGACCAGGACGACGCCGGGGTTGTGCTTGACGGCGACGACCACGGCGAGCCCAGTGCCAACGACGACGTCGAACCACAACCTGACGGCGTGGTCATTGTCGGTGCAGACGACCTGGTGCAGGAAGAACAGCATGCAGAGGCCGCCGGCCAGGAGCAGGAGGATGAAGCGCAGGAGGAGGAGCACGCGGCGCAGGACGAGCAGGCTCACCAGCTGCAGGTTGTTGCTCAAGCTGTACGTGCTGCATCTATAAATTAGTAAGTGGTATACTTTCTCATGTGGAACACGGACACCAGGTAAACAAAACAAATCTTCCCCATCGATCACTAACTCATGGAGAACTCTACTCTAAGAAATCTGTTAAGAGATTGGAGAAAAACAAAGCCTAAATATGTTTAAAGAATTCAAAATTCATGAGAGTATAAACTTCAAACCAAAAAATAGAAAAAAAAAACACTCTAGAATTGCTGCCATATGTCCTAGTCCTAAACAACAACATTAACATGGAGAATGTGGCACAGTGGGTCCGATGAAGAAGCAGACGATTGCAGATACACCTCTTCTGCCATACGACCAGACCGTCTTACGGCGACGTTCATCTGGAAGCACCCTTGGAGGACAGGAGGAGGAACCTCGCCTGCCGGCCACCGTGCGCCACTACCTCAACTTCATCGACTGCAGCGAAACCAATAGCAGGTGCATGTTTTACCTGCCTGAGTTGTATTTGTCTGTATCATTCACTACTGGACTCGCATGCTTTGCCAAGGGCCTGGACCAGAA